CATACTTGTTGAGCTATAGATTCAGCCGTACAGGCCACTTTAGGTGGATTCGGCTGATATGTTATATTCATGAGATTATTTCACCTGAGTTACTTATTTTGTTACTTTGAGATATATGGCATGGTATACTATAATTTCCACTATTCTGAGTATAGTTTTGAGATATGTCTATATATTTTATTTTCTGGGAATTTATATAGGTTTTACGGCGATGGGTTAGAACTTTTGATAAATGAAATGGTTTTGAAAAGCTTTGTTTTTTCCCACTCACACTTTCTGTTTTGCGCCCCTCCAAGTTTTAGGTAGGAGGGCTTGTTGGTGGCTCACGAGGAATTCACGGCAGCTCTGACAGATTATCACTAGTGTAGGACCATCTTTAGTACTGTATAATTAGTATTCGTCATGCTGGACTGCACTTAGGCTACTTATGCTCTAGTTATGTGTAGTCACATTAATTCTCATCTTGCACCTTACCTTATCTAGAGCTCTAGTTGGTTTGGTTTTATTTATTCGCATTTCTGTTTATCATTATTGTTTCCGCACTGTACACATGGCTACGTCATCTTCACATGACGGCCAGCATGCCTCGATCTAGGTCGGGGTGTGTCATATAGAAAAATGAATAGTTTGGATCATTAATATCACGTTCCGATATTTATGGTTAACTAAAATGTGAGCGATGTTATGTAGTTTCTATAGACTTTATAAACTCCGAGTAATATTTTCACTAACGATAAAACTCTGAACATAATATCAACGATTCGATTGTGCATCTTCCTACATCCTCTAAAAGATTATGTTTTCAAAAAAAAAAAAATTGGTGAGAAGAATGGAGGGTAAATGTAAATGCAATCAGCGGCTAAATTTTAAACTATAGTTTATGTGATTATAGTGTGAATTTCAAAGTTGAGCTCTTCATGAAAATTGTAAAGCTTATCATGACGAGCGTTTATATATGTGTGTGTGTATGCAGTCGACTGTTAACTGACTGGTCGTAGGTTCGAATCCTACCTATGGAGATTTGATTCATTTTGAATTCTTTAATTCAGAATGAAAGGGTTCGCTTTGACCTTTAAGATTAAATAATATGTTCCCTGTGTCTATATATATATATATATATATATATATATATATATATATATATATATATATATATATATATATATATATATATATATTTTTTTTTTTTTTCCACACTTCTACATTAATTAAAAAAACTATTCAAAACCCAAATCTTCTTAAATCCATACCGTTGGATCCCATCTCACTTATATTATTATAACTTTTTTGCATATCCTTGAACATTTTATATTTTGTCGCAATGTACTAATATTTTTTTTTCCTTAGCCTTTTATTTTGGGGTTTGTAATACTTGAAAGACAAGAGAGTTTTTATAGTTTTCATTTGATTACTTATTGGTTTAAAATATATTTCTTTAACGGGTAACGGGTCGAATCATATTATCCGTTAATATTAACAAGTTGGATCATATTATCCATTTATTTTAACAGGTGTTGCACGATACGATCTGTTAAGATATTGCAAAACACGACACGAATATCAGGTCTACTTGTGATTTAAGCCAGTTTTTCGGTCTTTGGAAAGTCATAATTGCGTTATGGTGTTGAGGAGCATTTGTTGGTTTTGACACATGTGAGCTTAATCTTGATATATTCATATGAACCAAATTTGATAAAGATGTGAACCAAATTCAATATAAACTGATGATGTTTATAAAGATGATCAATGTTGGAACTTTTGAAACTTCTACATTGGGACCACCCGACATTGAAATTATGGATCCGCCACTAGTTACGATGGTTAGTTTATGTGATAAAATATTTGAACCACCATTGTAGAGGTAAAATACACATATGAAACGTGCATGTCCGCGTGTTTTATTGTATATATTAACAAGTTGGATAAAGGACGCTAAGTCGCATTTCATATAGAGGTGAAACCATGGAAAGGAACTTCACATCTCCCAGCAAGGAAGAAAAAAGAAAACGTTGTCGCATTTTTATGCTTGTGGGTGATAGGGACCAACTTGTCTCACGACCAATCACCTCAAGTCATTTTTTGCTTTCTCAAACAAAAGAAATCCAAACTTGTACAAGAAGAAATTCATATCCTTATGCTTTCTTGACAACGCTTTTCGTTTGTAATAATGTAATGTCTCAAGCCAGAATTCGAGTAAGCAAAATATGAAAAGGGTGTCCAGAAATCAATTTTCTCCGAATAAAATTTGCATCCTTTTTTTAGCAAAATTTAGATGACAAGCTCGGTCGAAGGTTTTCTTTTCATACTTTCCCACCTCGCCACATAGAATGCTTTCTCATCTTGCCGCACTCTCTCATTTCGCCACATAGTTCTTTTCTGACCTTGTCAGAGGTGGAAAATAAATCTAATAAACAATTAAAGAACGTAAATGAAATTGACAAGGAAGTCTTCCAGTATTACGGTCTAATGGTATCTTTTCATTCATAAGTGAGAGGTCTTAGGTTCGATTTTCGTCAAAAACGAATTCAAACTACATTATTGCTAATTCATTGTAAAACTTAGCCCACTTCTCTATTCTATTAATGTAGATAATATCACCTGTAAAAAAATAAAAATGACACGGAATCTAATGTGCCATTTCAGATGAAAGTCATGCTCTTTGCTTCCAATTGAGGGAGACTTAATGCTTGGCATCCATTGTTTACGTTATTCCTCTTTTTCCTTTCTTCTTTCCCTTGCTAAAATACATATTAAGTTTTAATTTAATCTTTATAACCAAAACCCTTCAAGGAAAAAGATAGAAGAAATTCGATTTTTATATTTTTTTTTCTTTGACGCTATTAAAGTTGGTCATGTATATTGAGACATGATATTCATACACTATTTTTTACTTCTCACACGCCATTTTAATTTTCACCATCAAATTGGATGAATTGAAAAATGTCAAATGACAGAAATTAATAAGAATATGAAAAGTAAAAGGAATGTAGATAGCACACTCCTATATATTAATCCAAAACAGGAAAGCAGGTCGTACATAATTTATTTTGAATTAATTTGAAGATTTCCATATGGAAGGCAGTTCCAGCTGTCTGTGTTCCAAAGATAGCCAAAACGTAAAGGGAAGCAAAAATGGGTTGGAGGTTTTATGGTGATTAGCCACTGACCCTCTCAACTCCTTCCCAATAATTTAGGGATGAGGTTCATTTTCGGATTCTCTTTGCGAGAATCTTAGAAATCAATTTATTTTAATCATTTATCGTACATCGTGTGATCAATTTTGATTAGATATATTTGTATTCAATTTTTAATAAAAAATTCAAAATAATTTCTGATCGCATGATGATTGATGAACAAATAGCATGAACTAATCCCTAGGATCCTGTTCCATAATTTAGGGCACTCCTAATAGCTTTTGGTTCCACAATATGCTTTGTTCCACAACATGCCACTTAATACTACGGTATAGTGGTATTCCTCTTTACTTGTAAGTAAGAGGTCTTAGGTTTGATTCTCACCAAATGCGACTTTGAACCACATTATTGATAGTCCATTGTGAGGCTAAGCCACCCCCTTCATTTAGTGTAGATAATATCGTTTGCTCAAAAAAAAAAACAAACAATCATTATACATACACAACCATTATATATATGCACACACATTGGGAGGATAATATATATGGGTGATGCTAGAGTGATCATTTATTTGAATCATATTTTGTAAACTACATGATGATGCATTGGTTGATGGTCGAATTCCTTCTCTAAATCATTAAATAACAAAGTTAATCATCAACCGTCATATCATGTGGTCTATAAAATATGGTATCCATAAGATTTATATATGAGTTAGGATTCGGGGACACACATTTTGACACACATTTTTGTGGCTTCCATTATGTATCTTTTTCAAAGATCCGAATAGTCTATATTTCAATTTATCATTTATAAACCAGCCTTACAACAAATTAGACAAATCCAAAATAATTAAAACTTTCATTTATAGTGAGGAAAATGAATGAATACGGTCTAAAAACACTAAATTTAATCCAACAGTCATATAGCTTTCAGATTCGGGTGATTTTGGTCGAGATGATATTTGAAGGAAAAAAAAGATAAACAGATAGATCGTTAAAATACATTACGAAGTAGACTGTATAAAATGTGTGTCAAAATGCGTATATTCATGAATCTTTCTTAACCATAACCATATGCTTGTATAGAAAATATGGATGACAACGACAAAGGCCATGTTTGGTTACATGCTTACAAAGCAACGCAGCTGGGACTTATTAATACAAAAGGATGGTATCATCTAACATGCAAACAATTACATTGCACTCATGTGTATAGGATAATTTCTACAGTATCCAATACAATACAATATATATGAAATTTGGAATTGTCGGTACCAAACTAACTTGTTGGTTAACGAAAAAATTCCATAAAACAAAGATTCGAAATTGGAATCACTTCTATGTTTGAATGAATATTAGATCATACTAAAAGTTAGTTGAGTAAAAATTAAAATGCTCGAAAATACTCACCAAACTAATGCACATGCATTCAAACTTTTAACATTCGAAAGAAAGTTATCATTAAACTAAAAATTCGTCCGTTAAAAAAAACTAGCAATCGAACTTGAAATTTTTTTTCAATATTTTAGGCTTGGATATCCAAACCCTGAGTTTTATCAACTTCTCCCACCTAGGGTTTAGAGCCGTTACTCAAAACCTATCCGTTTCTATCCACCACACATCATACTAATCTCCTCCCATCCCACTTTTACCCTTTTCTGATGCAACCCTACACAACATAATCACAATCACAAACCATCCTTATCCCCCAACCAAACACCCCCAAAAGCGACAAGGGTATTCTGGTCATTTCACCCGAAAAAGAAACAGAATATAAGAAGCACATGGCCTTGCCTCCTCCTTCCAGCTGTCAACCCAACCATAGTTAAATCCTTAACCGTCGTTAACCCCTCACTCTCTCTCTCTCTCTGTCTATCTAATCTCTCTCTCTCACACTCTCTCTCTCACTCTCACTCTCACTCAGTCCAACCATGGCTTCACTAAGCAGCAGGACTCTAATCCTCCTCACTCTCCTGTCCCTGGCCGCCACAATCCAATCCCACAACATCACCGACATTCTCTCCGCCTTCCCGGACTACTCCCTCTACAACAGCTACCTCACCCAAACACGCCTCGCCGACGAAATCAACACCCACCAAACAATCACCGTCCTCGTTTTCAACAACGCCGCCATCTCCGCCCTTGCCGCCAAACACCCCCTCTCCGTCATCAAAAACGCCCTCAGCCTCCACGTCCTCCTCGACTACTACGACGCCCCGAAACTCCACAAAATCTCCGATGGCTCCGTCCTCACCACCACTCTCTACCAGACCACCGGCCACGCCCCCGGTAATCTCGGCTTCGTCAACATCACCGATCTCCAAGGCGGCAAGGTCGGCTTCGGCTCCGCCGCTCCCGGCTCCAAGCTCGACTCCAGCTACACCAAATCCGTCAAGCAAATCCCCTACAACATCTCTGTTTTGGAGATCTCCGCTCCGGTCATCGCCCCCGGGATTCTGACCGCGCCGGCGCCGTCTGCCTCCGACACCAACATCACCCTGCTGGAGAAAGCCGGCGCGAAGAAGTTCGCGTCGCTGATCGTTTCCACCGGCGTCATCAAGACGTACCAATCGGCGGCGGACAAGGGACTGACGATTTTCGCGCCAAACGATGAGGCGTTTAAGGCGAAGGGCGTCCCCGATCTGAGCAAGCTTACCAATGCCGAGCTCGTCTCCATCTTACAGTACCACGCCATTGCCGGTTACTCTCCGATCGGGTCTCTTAAGACCTCCAAGGCTCCAATCAGCACTCTCGCGACGAACGGAGCCGGAAAGTACGATCTCACAGTAACCACTGCCGGCGACCAGGTCACTCTCCACACCGGAGTCGGCTCGTCCCGAGTCGCCGACACGGTTCTGGACGCGACTCCCGTCGCCATCTTCACCGTCGACAATGTGCTGCTTCCATCAGAGCTCTTCGGCAAGTCTCCTTCGCCGGCGCCGGGCCCTGCCCCGGTATCCGCCCCTTCCCCGGCGCCGGTACTCGCTCCGGGACCGGCCTCAGTAGAAGCGCCGTCGCCTCTGGCCGCATCTCCGCCTGCGCCGCCTTCCGAGACGCCGGGGGGAGCTCCCGCGGACTCTCCGTCGGCTGAGTCGGCGAACAGCACCTCGGGGAACGGAGCTGGTCACGTGGCCTCACCTGCATTGCTGATGACCGTACTTGTCACTCTCTCGGCTGCTGCTATTTCCTCTATTGTCTTGTCCTGAACGGTAATTTTATGTCAGTTTTAATTTATTTTATCTTTAATTTTTTGGTTGTTTGTACTTTGTAGTACTTTCAGGTATCATTGTTACTATTTTATTTTATTTTATTTTGTTTACTCCGCTGTTAAAGAGACCAGAGTGGTTTTTATCTGTTAATTTTTATTTATTACTTTACCTTTTTAATTTATTTTATTTTTTTAATTTTATGGGTAGCTGCGCATTTTAGCAGTTGTGGCTGTTAGTTTGTGTGTAGGAGAGGAAACAATCGTGTGTGTCGCGTGGGCGTGCTATTATTATAAATATGAGGATTTGATTTCGCGCATGAAAACGTTTAAGATCAAGCGCATCGATTCGTGGATGTGACAGTAAGCAGACATGGGCCACGGTGATGGTGCTTTTTTAAGAATGAGGATCCTCCCCAGATCCTGTTTGTGAGGATTTTGAGGATCCTTGATAGGGATTTTACTATCTTCAAAAGTAGGAATAAAATCTTTAGAGATAAAATACTTAAAAATACTCGCACAAGCAAAGTTGTTCTTGATTAAATGAATAATTTATGTAAAAATTAATTATTTGAAAATAAGTTTAGAAGAAGTTTATTTTATGACCTAAAATATTAAAAACGAATTTAATTAAAAACAAGTAAATAGATTGAGAAAATAAAAGAAAATAGTTTTGAAAATAAATTTGAACACTAGGGTTCCGTCGTCACTTTAACAATCTTACGCAGTTCTTCTAATTACTTATGATTTACACATGAGTATTTGAAAGTTAGGTTTTCTTAATATATATCCTACATGGAAGCTCTAACATAGAATGTATATCTAACATGCAACTCGTCCGTGGCGTGCATATTGAATGTGAACATGCAAGACTCACTAAGTTTTTTGAAATCCTTTTGAAAAACCATATAACCCTTAAGATGAGTCGTTCATTCTAAGAAGTTACACATATTAATCACAAAAAGCCAACGCCAATTTCAGAGATAACCCTTCGCTAGAATTGCATCAAATTACTTTTCTAAATATCTTAATGGTGATCAATCATCAAGACAATTAGATAGTTTAATTAATAATTCAAAACTTGCATGCATAATATCATAAGCAAACTGAAAAGAAACTACATATTCTTGCTAAGGCTCATAGCCTCGCCTTAGCAAACGAAACTAGCTACGAATAATCATAAAACAAAACATTATTAAAAACATGGATAGAAAACACCTTGAAAATAAACTTGAATTGTCAAAAACTCCAAAGTAGTGTGTCCCTAAATTTTATGCGTTCTCCTCTCTTCCCCCACACCCCCCCCCCAACAAAAAAAATTTCTAATGGCTAAATATTTTATTTATACTACTCCAAAATAAAACCCTAAAAGGTCTTAGAATTAAACTAGGAAACATAATAAAATAATAAAACAGAAAATAAAAAGTTCCCTATTTAAACTGAAATTCAGATTTCTCAAAAAATCATGCTTTTGACTGATCAAATCAACTCAGATTTTGTCCTAAAATGTCTCTTTTTAAAACTTGAGACGTCCCCAACCAATCCTCAGAAGGAATCTTCCTCAAAATATGCCATCTTGACCTCTAAACTGCCCAAAACGTCCAGACGTCAATCTAGGAAAGCTACGCGCCGGGTCTTTATTTCTTTGCCACAGTCAAATGGTTAAGTAGAAAAATATGGAATTTTGAAATAATCATCTTAAAAAACTCACAAACATCCTCCAATTGGAATCACTCCAAAATTCATCGATTTGAATACTTTTTGCTTAAGAGAAAGTCGAATGTCCTACATTGAAAATACATAACAAAGTATCAAAATTCTACCAAAATAACTAATAAATTATGGGAATTGTTATTAGCACTCCAAAAATCACATTTAGCACTCTAAACTTTCTATAATTAGAAAGAAAAATACATTTAAGAGGAGTGTTGAATAAGATTTTTGGAGTGCTAATAGCAATTCCCTAAATTATAACTAAGATTAGGGGTAAAGTATATGGTATAACATGGACTCATCAATCCTCAAATCGTGTCCGTTTATCATACGTCGTGCGATCATAAATCATTTAAATATTTTTATTTGAAATTAAACATAAAGAATATTTGACAAAAACTAACCGTACGATTTACGATGAAAAAACACGATTTATAAATTTTCAGGATTTTTACAAAGTGAATCTGAGGAGGATTCTCATTCTTTTTTTTTACTTGGGAAATAAAAACTTTATGACAAGAAACCACGAACACAACCCGTTCCAGTCGAGTCAAAACGAAAAGCATTCCAAGCCATAGTAAATCCCAAATGTAAAATTTTTGAATAGAATGACCATGCTAGGAATGCCAATGGTGATTGTGTATAGGGTACCCTGTATATTAATACTAAGGGATAAAACCTATTTTTGCCACTATACTATAGGTGTTTTTTATTTTTAAACAAACCACTATTTTGTAGGTTAACATTTACTTTGGTCACTGTGTTGTTCAAAGTTAGCAATTTTGACTATTTCGATGGTTTAAAAAAATATAAAAATATTCATTAAATGAATAAAATGTTGTTGTTGTGGTCTATTTTATCTGACAGAGAGACTAGGGCCGGTTGCAGAGAAAGAGAGAAGAGAGATGTGTGTTTGTAGAATTGTAGGGGAATGTGTGTGTTGTTATCTCTCCTACATTGTGCCTTTATTTATAGTAGTAAAGGGAGAGAAGATATTCCTTCTCCTCCAAGTAATACAAGTTGTAATAGGAAAAGATAACTAGAATCAAATCTAATATAGGATTTACACAATCATACTTATTCTAGGAATGTTTACAACACTCCCCCTTGAGTGTGTAAATACTCAAGGTAGATTCAGTATCATGCAGAAGTTGAGGAAGTCGACTCGTCGGCACTGATTCCAAGGAACAACGCTTATTCTCAATAAGGTAGGAACTTGCATAAGTAGTAAGTCTCACTAAAAAACCCTAAGGCTATGGCAAAAACCCGAGTAGGGACAAAATCCATAGTCTAAGGAAAAATGCGTGAGAAATGCAAAGTCAAAATAAACGTCTACAGGACGTCATCAGGGATATGACCAGCCCAAGGTGAGTGCCTCGTTAAAACCTAGTTAGGTAAAAAAAAAAATGCTCCTAAGTGGGAAAAATGCCTAATCGTGGAAAAATGAGTACATAAGATCAAGCAAGTATCCAGAAGATACTCCCCCAGTTTGACATAATTCCAAAGAGAAATAGCAAAGTTACAACTCAGAAAGTTTACGCATACCAATTCCATGAACAAGCTTCTAACGTCGCCTTCGGTAGTGATTTGGTGTAGAGAGTCGGCAGCAGATTGTCTTGTGATCGGATTTGCGTGACTTTCAATCTTCTGATGCTCTTTTTGTTGATGTGTAAAGAAAAAAACTTCGGTGCAATATGCTTGGTGTTGCTAACCTTTTGATGTAACCCTTCTGAGTTGTTCGCAAGCCTCGTTATCTAAAAAAATCGTCGTCGGGGGCATTAACGGCGGATGAAAATCACAGGAGCTTCGAATATGGCCCATTACTGCTTTCAACCAAAAACATTCCGAGTTTGCTTCATTGTAAGGCGAGAATTTTCAGTAATGGTTAGACGAAGAATTGGCAACTAAGGTCTGTTTAGTTAACCTCCAAGATATTGCGGTGCCCTCCAACGGTAAAGACATAACTCGTTTGAGAACGCGCCTTGTGCGGATCAGATAGATAAGTATCCAGCGTCGGCCAACAAGGCGAGAATCAAACCGATGAGCATAGGGTGCGCATCACTCGGGGATTCGTAGGGATAGAACAAGCCCAAATCCGTAGTACCCTTAGGCCTCGTTTGGCAGCTCGGACTGTACTGACTATTTCTGTCGGATAGGATAGGATAAATAACACACCGATAGTACTGACTAATTTTAGTGGGCGGGTTGTTTTGGCGGACTAATTATTTACTGTGTTTGGTATTGAACCGGATAGGACAAGGGAAAAAATAATTGACAAAATCTTTGTTTGTTTGTTGAACTTTTCTCATATTTATACTTGTTGAAAACCACACAAATTTTTCAAATAACAAAGAAAAATAGTAAATTCCATACATCAAATTCAAAATATTTTCAGTAACATAAAAGAGGGTTTACAAAAAACAACTACAGTCATTACGTATATAGATTAATACAATCACATATCTAAGTTCATAACATATACAAATACAAGTTGGTTTCGGTAAGAAAACAGTTTTGTCCAGATAGCCAAAATATATGCATGCTGCTGCTTTTGCTTTCAATAAGACCTTTCTCAACAATATCTACTCTGGCAACTATTTTCCAACTTCCTCTTGCTCGAAGCTTTAATGACACTGAGTTGAATTGCCGGTTATGGCCGAAGTGGAGGTCTACATCTCCAGGTGCAGTCAAACCAACTGTCTGTCCAATACCATTATCCTGCATCTGCAAGTCATTAACCAGTTTATTTTTGATTGACTACTACACAAAGCCTCACCTTCTACCTCCAAAGACCCAATCTACAAACTTGATTTCGTTGCGGCATTCTATCAAACACTTGCTTGGGCGCACCAAAACTCTGCCCAACACTAATCCCCAAGTCCCAAAGTCCTCAACTGATCCTGAAGATCTGCTATATTTTGAAGGCAATGGATTTGTGCTGGTTCACATTTGTTGTGCTGAATTCTACAATTGATGGTTCATAAATTCTTAAAACAGAATTTTGCACTTTTGAATTATACTTATGTCTAATGTTTAATAATAGCACAACGATTATATGAACTGCCAACCATTTAGCCCAATCAAATTAAACTGGGATCCCATATTGATACCAAGAGATGCTACCAATGAAATTTTCAGAATGACAAAGAAAATCTAGGAAATTGGTCAGCCACAAAACCAAAATGCTCTGTTTGGTTGCTCAAAAAATAAGCAAAAAAGAAAGTACAACACAGTCATAAGAAACGAAAACCCATTTATCTCTATCTAATATCTGGCATGCCCAAACCAACCCAGGAACAATCATTTTCCTTTTATTGAGTATTCCCTTTCAACATTCCTTTCAGTATTCTCATTTATCTCTATCTAGATTGACGGTAAAATATGGAAAGATAAACTGCAGCATTCATATGCAAAAAAAAAATGGAAGAGGGGGAAGACAATAACTAGATTCATCAGACCCTAAAATTCGAAATTTGTAATTAAAACACA